AAAATTTTTAAAAAATGAAAAATAAATTTAAATATCTTTTCTAAAATAAAGGAGACATGATTGAATTTACTCCTATCAATCACCTTTTTCCTCATCTATGGCCCACATTTGGTCCTAATATAAAATCATTGTTTGCCAATACAAAAAAAAAAAAAAAAGACTGATGTACATTCCTTACTTTTCACAATAAAAGCACTCTCTAAAATTCAATCCTTAGTTGTGTTATTATTCATACTAACTTTTTTACATTTATTATGGCCAAGGCACCAGCACTAATTAGTATTAATTAATTATAATTAAGTAGACTGCCTAGCAACTTCTATAACCATCTCAAAGGATAAAGTCGCACTTAGAATCTTGCCATAGGCTCCTCCGGCTGGATTTGGGGGCTCCACACGCAGAAACATAGATTCAGGATCCTGGAGTAGTAAAGGGACTTGTTCAAGGTCCTCTGTCATAGTCATAGCAGAGCCACTTGTGGCAGAGCCCATATGGCTACCACACCACACCTGTGCGCCTCACGGTGCTCTGGATTTACGCTGAACCACAGAAGGCGATGAACAGCCCTATGGACTGGTAGCCCCATCTTTTAGATAAGTCACGGTGGCTTAAAGAAGTTCCTAACTTAGTAACTTGCCGAAGGTCACACAGTGAGTCAAGGGTTGAAGGCATGAATCGAGGCCTGTGTGGCCAGACCTTGGCCTGAAGGGAAAAGTGATGGCACAAAAGGGCAGGCAGAAGGGCAGTTATCAGAGAAGGGGTTGGCAGAGGGCTCAGCCACAGGGACAGTGGGAGTAATTTGGGACAGTGAACATTCGCCCCAGGCTTGTCACTGTTACTCATGATAAGGATGTAAAGTCCCTCTTGGCTGTGAGTTGCCTCCTCCCCGTCCTGCCTCTTCCTGCTTCCCAGAGTCGCTGCCTCAAAGAGAGTTGCTGCAAATATACAAGCTGTTCAGATAATGCTGCACAGCAGATGTTGATGCAGACGATAAGGTATTCTTCACAGGTAAGGAGAAGGGAGAAAGGAAGCGGTGGGAATGGTCAGATGCTCTTTGAGTGGAGGGACCACAGCCTGGGGCTTTGGAGATCAGCGATCCTATTCCAGGCCACAAGTTGTCATTTATTAGCTATGTGACCATGGACAAACCACCTCATTTCTCTAAACAGGTTTCCTCAACTGTAAAATGAAAATATTAGCATCTGTCCAGAAGGCTGTGTGATGATGAAAACGGGACGGCGCGAACAAGGGGACCTCATCACTATTAATATTATTCCTGCCACAGCCCTTCTCACCCCCTCCCTTGGCTCTCCAGCATCTAGCACCTTCAAAGTTCTCTGGAAATATTTGAATTAATGAGTAAACGTAAGAAAAAATAGTTAAATGGTTCATCTACTAAAGATCAAAGCTCAAGAAACATGAAACATGAAATTTGAAACATGAAAGTGGTGGCTAAACTAAAGTGTTAACTAGAGTTATCTTGTAACTAGTTATCTAGTGTTCTTACCTTACTAATTTCCGGTATTTAGCTAAGAAATTCTCCCAGGCTAAAGGGAAGAACACCTCTCTCCCAGACAGTAACTTTATTTATTGTGAATAAGGCTTTTGAATGCAGGCTATAGCCCAAATTTTCTCTAGTTAATCATAATAGGTATTGATCTGGGCTTTATGGCCATTGTTTCATTTTGTGTTCACAGTGTCCATTTGAAGTAGATGCAATTCTTATAGTCCAATCATATTATGTTAATTAATTGTTATTTTACAAATACAACTGAAATGGAGAGAGTTAAGTGAACTGACCAGTGACAGCAGCTGCATTGTACAGAAGAGGAAATACATTTTTTCAATCAAGTACATAACTTCTCCTAAGGTTAACTGTAGGCAGAGCCAGGAGTAGAAAAACCCAGGTAGTTTGACCCTCAAGACTTAGCCACTATTTGATTCTGTGTGCCTAGGTCAGACCCTCTACCTCACAGTTTGGCTTAACAACGGATGATCTTCAAAGTTATAAAGTTAAAAAGAATGCATTGAATATCAAGATAATCATACCTTGGAAGTTAATGACATTGTTGTACAAGTTTCCCGAAAAAAGTAGCTGAGAACTCATCTTTTGAGTCTTCATGGACACACTTCACAAGGCACAAGAGACTCTATTACAGCAGTGGCTGGTGGTGGTCAAATGAACCAAACCAACTCTTTCTCAACCATGATTCCACAGCTATGGCAGACAAGCTGCAAAACTTCTGGCTCTGTCTGACCTCTGCCTGCCTGGCCTGGGCTGCTTCACCTCTCACTTCTACCAGGCAAAGGCTCAAATTTTCCCTCCACTTCATAACCTGCCTAGCAACTTAAGTCACCACTAGCATTAGCAGTACAACCTCTAGTTCTGGGAGGAAGCACTCATTTGCTGTCCCTGTTCAATCCACCTTAAAAACTACTGCTGCGTTGCCTTCCTCTAACTATAGTCATGCCACCACCTTGAGATAATGAGGGTTTTCTAGTCTACCAAACCCCAACCCCAAGTTCACTCTGTCACTCCATTCTTGAGTGAGGGTTTCTTTGCCTGGTCCCATGTCAAGCTCCTGAGATGCATGGATGAGTTAGCATGGTATGGAAGGGAATCCCAAGGAGACGTCCTACTGGAGCATGAAGCCAAGGCATTTTGAGAGCACTCCATGTTCATTTACCTACTCCCCAGCCTTCCTCCCTGAATGGATGTCATCATGCCTATTCTGAAGTACCTGGCTTTCCCTCTATCTTTTCAGCATAAATACTTCCTCAGAGAAGCCTTCACTGATTCTTTGATGGAGATCCATCCTCCCCCCGCGCCACCCTGTACCTATCCTTCATTGCATGTATCATCACTGTAATGATCAATAAATACCTTCTTGTGAACTTCTTTTTGGTAAGTAGTGATCTGCCTCACCTCTTAGAATACGAGTAATATGAGGATAGAAACTATAAAGTATGGATCTGGTTTATCTTTGTATTCTTGGAGCCTCCCAGTTAAGTACCCTGTGAATATTAGCTATATTATTTACATTCCTTTTCCTTCATCTTTTGCATTTCCAGTGCTTTTTGATCCCATTTCTCCAACAGGAGTACTTCAATTGAACCTACACACATCTCCTTCATTTGAATACCAATCACCCATCAGTATTTACAGGGCCACTTTTCATTATAATCTGTACTCCATGTAGGATTGAAATCGATTTCCCCTTACAAACAAGCTCAGGGGTAGGGACTCTCCTGAAAGTTCCTGTTTACCTTCTGCATGTTCTAAAACCTAGGCTAGAGCTCAACATCCTTTAACCCTTCATACTTAGTACCCTGCTGTGATTGCAAATGGACACTAATCATTCCTGTATCTACTCTGCAGACAAAATTGCTGTATTTGTTCTATCAGCAGCTTTTCCAGTAAATTCAGTAAAAGGAAATAAAAGCCCTTCTAGACATATTCTGAGCCTGTTCATTTTGAGCTCTTTTTAAATGCTTTCCAACATGTCATTTTCCTACATTAAGCAAACTCAGTCACTTAGGAGAAATGGGAACAGCAGCCTCCACCAAAATCACCCAAGAATAAAATACACATTCCAGGTTAGGCTTCCCTCCCCTACTTTCTTGTGCAATGAGAACCATGACAAATTATGGACTCCCACGCTAGGGAAGAAGGGTCTCACTGCCGCTTGAGCTCCTTATAGCTTTCAGCACTCAACTTTCTTCCTACTTAAAATGCTCACAGGAGTCTGCGGGTAAAACTCAGGCTTTTGAACTTCACAGGCTTGTGGGAGCGTTTCCAGGTGCTGGCCTAAGGAGAGCAGGTGGCCTCCCCCACACTAGTCCCAGATGCCACATCTGCTCCTTTATCAACCATGGGCACCTGCACTCTTCATGCCGACAGTAGCACGTGCTTACACTTACCCATTTTCTGTAATTATATGACTCCTTGAGCTCATTCTCTTTGTCTGGGACTCTAAAACCACCCTAAGATGCAGCATGGGTTACTGACCTTAACTCCACAACTTTCCAGTGTAGATTCCGAAATGTGTGTGTGGTTTCCAGCCATGTTTGCATTAATCCTGAAAATCAACGTGTATTGAAGATTTATGTTCATGAGACATTTCTCGTGAGCACTGATAGCCTATAAACAATGGGTGATTAATTCTCACACAGTAAATGCAGGGAGCATTTTCAGTCGCTAAATGATTCATCAAAATGTTTACTAAGCAACTGAAATGATACACACTTAATGTTCTCAGAAAAACTGCAGTTTATCTGCATAGCTTGGATATGGATGGACCAAAGATGTCAGGAAAAAAGGTATACAAGTGGAAAAAATAAATAAATTCAGTTAAATCCAATAGATGGTTTATGGGGAACCCTCATAGCATTTTTCAAAAGAGCTTGTTAGATTTTATTTTAAGAAGACATAGTGAAGAGGAAATGGTTTAAAAGATGTCATCAATCTTTTATTTAACTAAGCACTGCCCTTCATTTTGAAGGAAATGATACAATTTCATATTGGAACCTCCTTCTCAAGAAGTCATATGAGAACATATTGATTAACATATAATCTTCAACAAAAATAAAGTTTACACAATTCACTGGGAAATAAAATACATGTAGAATTTATCACGTTAGTGTATGTAATTCTCCATGGGTTACAGTATTATAACAAAGAACATAACAGCATAATGAAAAGTTGAATAAACCAGTCAAGTTTATAGTTACCCTGATTTTTAAAATTCATAAATAAAATATACCTTTCCAAACAAATCCATTCAATAACCATGATCACATTAGATTTTATTCCAACTTATGAAAAATTGGTTAGACAATCACATAATATCAAGAGTCTTCAACACAGTGGATTCCATTTTGTTAAGAAAAAAATAGAAAACAAGAAGTCCTTAAATCTTCTTCACTCTCCATAGCATATGTCATATAAAATTAAAGTTTTGTTTCCAAAAATACGTTTCCACATGGTTGTGGTGTTGTCTAGTGGTGCTAGCAGGGTCAGAAGCACCAAAGACATGAGACGTTTAACCACTGAAGGGTCATTTTTCATAAAAACTAAAAATTTCCTTACAGTTCTGGAACAAAGCCTTCTGCCAGGCATTTTAGTGCTATTAACATTATTTTTAAGTTAAATGTGGAATAGGAACTACAAAAAGTTGAGTTTTTTCAGTACAAAAGTTGCGTAGCTGAAGTCATGGGCTCCTGACATACATAAGCAGTCTCAATAAAAAAGTTGCTCAAGTAAGAAAATAGAGTTTGTCTGATTACACTTAGCACACGTTCCAGTAGGGTGTCCTGCTTATCCCTGCCAGAGCCTCCGAAGAACATTAGAGTCGGTATATCTTTTCTTCAAATAGCATCTGTTATTCAAAGTACAAAACAGTTCTAAGGTCCTAAGCCTAAGGAGAAACAAAAAGTATTAAATATATGTTTTTAAAGTGCCAGACGTAGCCATTGCCTGGGGTTAAAACCTCACTTATCCACAACACTGCCATCTTGAGGACAGAGCCAAGAGCTGATTCGATTCTCTTTTCTTGGCACCTGCCCTGGTTGGTTGGTGCTTTACTTGAAGCTCTATAGCCCTACAAAAACTCCGATGGAATCACTGCTCCTACGTATCACATATTTCACATCTCTGGTGCCCTGTACAAAACGCTTGCTTTACACAGGAAAGCAGCCCCTGGAGTAGATCTATTTCCTCTTCTAGCTCATTGTCAAGCCCTGTTATCAAAAACCTCTTCTCCAGAGGCAGAATGCAATGGTCGGTGTAGGTCTTACAGGAGTTCTTCTTCGCGTTCGAGACTTCTCACAAAAAGCAGTTCATTTGCAACAAGAGAGAGTCACTGCTCTACCTCAGTATGACCGCTGACATTCACTTTCCATTTGAGGGCAGAGGAGGGAGACAGAGATGGAGAAGTGAAAGGACAGCTGGCCAGCTTGCTAGCCCAGAGCTGCTGGGCAGTGCTGGTCTCCTTCCTTCCCGCTCTCTGCACATTAGCCATTACCTTTAATTTGTACTACTGTGTTAAGCATAAAAGAAAATCCAGATCTCTTAGGTAGAGCAGGATCTCCTCAATGTCTTAAGCCGTGTTACTCCGCCACTTTTCCATGAGCAAGAGAACATAAACAAAAAGCGGTGAGATTTACTAAACATGGAAACTAGAATGATACGTCTCCAAGTCACAGACTGGAGCTGAGTGTGGTTCATCTCTAATAAAGCGATATAGGACCTGTCTGGTGACACCTGTCGTCAACAAACAGGGAACATAGTAATGCCCTTGTAATTAAATGATGTCATGTGGAGGTGCTATGAAGACTAAAATTATGGCCACAACTGCCAAGCTTGGAAAAAGTATACAAGGGCCTCTTTCAAGTCTTGTTGCCTTGATTTAGAGATAGTCAGGCGGAAGGCCCAAGGATAGCCACGCTGTGAAACACTCAAATGTGATTCTACTCCAACTGTAAGAATTAGGTCACAAAAATGACGTGTTCAGTGCAATCTCTAATGACTCCCAAGAGAAGTAAAAACTTTACTCAACTTTTGAGACAGGATGAGCAATGCCAATGAGCAGCAGAGACGCATTCTGAAATACAGGGCACACATCATTAAAAAGCTCACATGACTACAAGGAACAGGATGTAAAAAAATTTAAGTCTCCTAGTAGAGCAAACTGTAGCTCAGCAGCGGATCCAAATAGTATTGGCCAGTCTGCTATCAGCAGATCCCACAATCACTAACCTGTGCTTTAGGACCATCACCAGATTTGGCACTGACTATACCAGGTGGCATTTGTGATTGCTGTCAGGTCTCTTAAGCAAGCATTCAAAGTGTGTTCTCCAAACAACGAGACTGTTGCAATATAATTAGACTTCACATCTTGAATTAAGTGTCCATCAAGAGTGGCTACCAAAATAAATACCTTATCATTAAAATATGCCACAGGCCTGAGATTTTACCAGCAGCAGAACAAAAGTGGGGGATGGGGTGGTGAGGGGAATTAAAATTCACAGAACCACCACCGAAGCCTTACATTTTAAAAAGGTTACCATCACTGTTCAGGAATGGGGTTCAGTGGGAAGTGGGCGTGACTAATTCCTGCCAGGGCAAACCTGTTTAGCGGCTTCTGTAGTGGATACTTTATGGGGTGGCACTAGCCAATCCCATGGGTGACCTGGGGATGAACACAGCCAAGCAGGTTTAATTAGATCAGAGACACAAAAGGCTATTCCCTCCTTTGATAACAAATAACACAGCTGTAAGTGCCTACAATAGCAGGCGAGGAACGAAGGCAGCCAAACAGAACCATAATTGAATCCTTCCCCTGGCTGGCCCATGACAATGATTTAGTTGTAACCTAGAAAGTGGCTGGTGGAGCAGGAGGGGGCAGGAGGCTCAGCCAGCCCCAGAGGGAGAATTACCTGGGGATGCAGAGGAGGGAGGTAGCAAAGTCTTTGTTTTGTGGCCCAAGTTTACTGACTCTTTTGTTATACTTCACAGGTGGCTGCTCCATTTGGGCCGCTGCTCCCACACTTGGTCCTGGTTTCTCCAAGCCTGCATCCCAGGAATCCCCTGAAACAAATCACCCCAGCCTCCTGGATCCCACACACAGCTCCACAGGGGCAGCCCACATGCGGCTCTGGTGGCCCCAATCCCACTCTGGCCTTAGCACAGGGCATCCTCCAGGCCCAGGGCGGCAGAGCAGCAGGTAGAAGGCAACAGCAGGCATTGGTACTCCTAACTTTTCGCCACGCCTGCGTGCATACGGAGGGTTGATGTTGGACCCAGGTCCAGCAGGGATTTAGTGTTAGGCATGCCCCCAGTTTGCCCCACCTCAGGGAGAAGACAGGCTGAGAGGATGGGCAGGTAGCGCCCCCAACCAAAGTGTTCCTACGTGCTCCCTCTTCCTCCTCTGTCCAAGATAACAAGCTCAAGCCACCGCTGGCTGCGCATTTTGCCAACTCTCCGGTTGCCAAATGAATGGCCCAGGAACCCAGATGGGGCCCAGAAGGTGTTGGAGGAGGAGTAGAGGGAGGGAGCAGTGGCTGCTGGCAACAGCTCCCTGTCACAGCTCTGCACTCACAGCTCTGCACTCACAGCTCTCCCGTCAGTGCACCACCGCCTCTCGATCCTCCTCCTCCCAGCCCGGCGCAGCAGGGCGCTCGGGAGGAGGCTTAGTCCGCCCAGCTTCGCTGTCGCCCTCTTCCGGCTCGGCCGGGTGCAGGTGCATGGCGAGTTCCTGCAGCACCGCTGCGCGCCCTATCTGATCGTTGCGCCGCTTCTCCATGATCAGGTCCTCCAGGCTCTGGAACTCAAGCGTGTGGCTGCGCTGAGCAGAGAGCTGGATCTGCAGCCGGTAGGGCTGCTTGCCGATGCGCAGCTCGCCGCCGATCTTAAACTCGCGCTTGCCGTAGCGGCACCAGGCGGCGAAGCTCTCCGAGTTGCGCCAGCTCAGCTCGCGCTCCTTAGCGCCTACCTGCGCCAGCGCGTTGCGCACCACCGCGCTGGGGCTGAGCGGCTTGTAGCGGTACAGATCGTTCACCACGCGGCCGCGCCGGCCCTGGCTCGCGTCGGTCAGGAAGCTGTTGCTCACTTCCAGCCGGTGCAAGTGCACCACCTGGAAGTTGCCCACGTATACAGCCCAGTGCGGGTACTGGGCCTGCGACACGAACTCCACCAGGTCGCCAGGCTTGCACTTGTTGAGCAGGTTCTCTGGCGTGTAGGTGCTCAGTGCCGCGGAGCCTGGCGCGAAGCTTTTCTGGTAGATGCACTCGTCGCGGTAGAACACGGAGCACTCCACCTCGTGCAGCCGAGGGTCGTAGGGCTGCGGTGGGGGCAGCGTCGGCCCCTCCCCGCCTTTGGGCAAGCCACCGCCATCCGGCCCCTGGGGCGGCGGCTGCGGCTCCACGTCCTCGTCGTCATTGGAAAAGATGTAGGAGACCCCAATGCGAGGACCGTCGTCCCGGTCCATGCCAGTCGGGTCGGCTGTGGGAACTTCCTTATAATTTAGGTGAGTCAGTTTCTCCACCTGGTTGCCCATCACGCTGCGGACACGTTCACACGGCCGAGAGAAGAGAAAGCGAAACCACCACTAGGGTCATTGGCACATGTCCCCGGACAGGGGCTGAGACCACCTGTTGGGAGAGGAAGGCAAGGAAGCCATATAGGAGCGAGCCCTTCAGTGTAAAGGACGATTTGTTAAGAGGCGGAAGAAAGGTTCAGGTCAAGCACCTGGAACCATTCAACGAGGAGTCTCGTGTAGAGAGCCTTCCCTCATTTCTCCACCTCTAGGGTCACGGTCTCAGGAGGCCAGGCGACTGCAGCTCTAGCCCCCGCCCCCAGCCCTTCACCTCGCTCGGGCAAAAGTCCATTGCATCAGCAGCTCCCAGGGCTTCCGCCAGCGCCCTACCTGCCAAGCCTAGGCAGGAGGGGTGAGAAAGAAAAACTTTACTCCACTCCCTCCTTTTCTAAAATCCCTCCACACTAGGGCCCTAACTTAACCCCTGAGACTACCCCCACCCCCCACACCTCCTTCCCCAGGAAACCGGCGGGGACTACGTAGCACGGTCCGGGCAGGTGAGCCACCTTGCCTGGCACACCTGCGGCGCTTTCCTCTTCCGTCTCCTCCTCCTTTCCCCCGCGCGCGTGCCCCCTAGCTCGGGTTACCTGCGCAAACTCACCCGTCGAGAGGTGGAGGCCCTGGGGAACCGGGAGGAGGCCCCGGCCACACGCTGAGACTTCTACGGCGAGTTTGCAGGTGTGGGCTCCGCAGTTCCTCCTAGTCTGGCGCGGGCTGCAGCAAGGCTGGACCGAGGGGAGCGACGCATGTCTTACTCCCTTCGGCTACACAGCCTTAAGGTTTGAAAGTGGGAGTCAGTATCTGTTCACCCTGCACCTCCTCCTTTCTGCTGGTGTTGCTGCTCCCCCTCAACCGGCTCCAGGGGGAGGTGGGGCGCGAGAAGGAAGAGAAGGAAGCAGCCTGGCTGCCTGGCGGCGCCAGCTCCCGCTCGGTCCCGGCGAGCAACAAGCGCTGGAGCGGGAGAGACGGGATTGTAGATCCGGCTCCGGGCTCCCCGGGCGGGAGCGCAGCCCCTGGCATTTAAAGAGACAGGCGCTCGCTCCCGGAACCCAGGACTCTCCCACACGGTGCAGAGCCTCCGGGATACCCGCCCCGCCAGACCCACCCGGGCCGCGGGGCTCCGCCCAGGCCACGCCCCCACGCCGGAGCCGATTTAAATCCAGCTGGTAAATTATCAACGCGTGGGCAAGACTGGTGTTCTTAGTACGCGAGTCTGCGCCGGCCACTGGGAACCCGCCTGTCTTCTTAGAGCCAGGGCCTGCTGTGGGGACCTCTCTGCTTGCTCAGTTCGCATTTTTCCGACCTGTAGGCTTTAAGAAGTTGGAAGGCAAACGCCACCTGCCAGTATAGAGATGAGAGAGGGAGTAAGAGTTTGCTGTTTTGTTTTCTTTCCCTTTTACCAGAGGACCTGGAGAGGGAGGGACAGTCATTAGGAATCAAAAGCATGTCTTCTCCTTCCTGGAACATATTTCTTGCCAATGTTCACAACAAAGATTTTTTTCAGTGGGACAGCTCCAGAAGTGTGCCAGTTTAGAGGTATTTACAGGATAAGTGCTGTGAAACTTTACAGTTGGGAAAAAAAATTCACAGAAAAGACACAGTATAAAACAGAAGGAAGACTTAGTTACTGGCTTACCTCCAAGACCAGCGCTGTGTTTATTAAATGTCCCCCAAAGTTAGCAAAAAGTTGATTTCACAGCCTCCATTGTTTTGAATTACTATTTGGTCTGGTAGGGAGAGAAAGTATTCAGCTCTGTTTTTCTTGGCGGTGAGATATGTAGGAATTGCCTAATTGTCCTTAAAGTAAGAACAAATTAGCAGAGGCCCCTGGTGAATATACTTCCTTCCTGCTGATTTACAGAAGGAAGTGACAGAATGATTTACAGAAGGAGAGGAATATTGCCTATTAACCTCCACAGGAGGACACTTCTTCCCTTCCCCCTCCCTGCCAGCTTGTATTTTGTACCTAAGATACAGGCTACCAAAATGTTCTTTGTTTTTTGAAAAAATAGATCTGAGTGGAGGTAGACCATCAACAGCAGGCAAATTTAGGTATTCACGGGAACATCCTAACTAATTTGTGGTGGAATTAAGAATGCAACTCAAGACCTCCTCTACTCTGTTTTCCATCACTGTGTCTTTTGACTAAGTTTTTCCAGGTAACGCTATTATTTATTCAGTGTATATACCAAGCAGTGGAAACAGAAATATACTAACACTGCCGCGATCCTTTTCAGTTTGAGGGGGGGGAAATCAATCAACTTACGTACTTTTGAGTCCAAACAATCAATATTAGCAAAGCTGTAATAAAAGTTAGTCCTTCAGCAAGTCTAAGATCACGGTATAAGTTAGACCAAAAAGAGACTTCCATGCAGATTAAATTTACCTATGTGTTGTCTGACCAGCCTTAAGCAAGTATGACCAGATGAATCCCCACTTCCCACATTTTGATAACAGTGCTGAGGGCTGCTGTCACCTAAATGGTATTTGCCACTACCAAGTGAGCTCATGGAGGTACCCATTCTACAAGGAATGGGAAGGCAGTGGGGCGTCATCCCATGTCTGTTAGACTGGGAAACCTCCGCCTCCGTCAGCTGTGGTAGATCCCTGTGTAGGGTGGCTGGTGATGCCGGAATCCCTAGCACACAGTAGCATGAGAGTTTGCAACCAGCACTCTGGGGCAAAGATCTAATAATAAAAAACACTGTGAAAATTAAGATAAACAAAGCCACTTTAAAATAGAGTCAGTTGGAGCTGCCATCCCAGGGGAACTGCCTTGCTGTCTTATTCCTCAAACCTTGGGAGTGTTAAAATTGGGCGAAATAACCTTAGGAATGGGCCTAAGGCAGCCCCGTATTCCAGACAACTGCTTGTTATGACTATAGGGCTGTGGTTAAAGGCGCTCTTGTTAGAATTAGAAGCACTCTGTTAGCTTATCTGCACCTATAGTAATTCCTTCCTTTTCTTCAAGGAATTGCAGTTAGAAAGGTGGAGAAGTATTGGGGTTTTAGGATTGGCACCCTGGCTGCTCTATGGGAAATGAATGTGAGAGGAGGCAGGTCTCAGAGGGGGCCAGGGACCTTGCCAGCAAAGGACAAAGCCTCTGAAGGTCCCTTTCCCAAGAGCAGCCACTCAGGCAAGAAATGTTAGTTGCATTTGAATTCTTAGCCATCCTGTAGCTTTTTCCCATATCGGTAACTCAAGTGTCACATCCCACACACCTCCTCAGAGAAGGCACTCAGTAAAAAGAAGGGCTGGATGCCAGTTAGTGACTCTCACAGTATCCCTGTCCAGGGCAGCGGGGAATAAGTAAGAAGTGGGATTTCTACCTGACCCGGCATGGGCGCTGACCCTGCCCGTGTGGCAGACATCTTGGTTTAGATGGCTAGCTCCAAGAACGTGCGAAGGAGGAGCGCACGGGCAGAACTATGAGCTTAGGCCACCTGGAACTCAGGCTGGGCCCCAGGTTCAAGGCAGCAGCAGACCGCTGCGTTATCTGGGGAGTAGGTCCCTCCATACCTCTCTTATACTGGAGAACTCCCAGACTTGCCTGCTTCTGTTACTCGCTGCTGGGGTTTTCTCCAGACCTTAGGAGGTGAGAGGGAGCCAAGTGGAGACAGATGCCCCAGGTTGCAGTCCTGTTTGCCAGGTGCATGACGTTGGAGCTGTCTTCTCCACTCCAGGCCTCCTTTCCCAGTCTCTAAAGTGGGGCTGATGATACTTCTTCCCTCACTGTGAACCCTCAAGTGACACAGTGTATATGGAAGCTCCTCATAAATCCTAAAGGCGGTGTAGCTGCCCCGCATTATTTACACACCACGGAAGAGCCAGATGATGATTTTAATATGGAAGCAAAAGGATAACAGTGTGACGTGGGCACCCTCCCACTACATCCTACCAATCCTGTTTTTTACATTCCTACCGAACAAAAGCGCAGAGATATGAATCCTGCTGGATTCAAACCCAGATCTGCCTGGCACCAAGGCCGCTGTTGATGCCATGTCACGCTGTCCAGGAGCACCAGCCTATGGGTTTACCCAGGCTGGTTAGGGGGCTGGTTTGTCTTCCGGACGTAGAGTGACCAATTTGTCCAGGTTTGCCTGGGACCGTCCTACTCTCAGCACTAAAAGCCGCACATTTGAGGCAAACTGGGACAGCTGGCTGCCCTGCCTGGGCCCCCCAAACCCCGTCATAACGTTCCTTAAACCAAGAGCTTCATGGGCATGGAGCTGGGGACATTGTTGGGGGGTGGGACAGGGAAGGGAGAGAGGAAGAGGGGAGTCCCATATTTTTGTCCAGACCTTACTCTCAGAAGAGACCCCTATTTCCAGGTGAAGTTATACATAGAGCAGCCACTGTGTAAACAGGGCCGAACAATAAAAGAGACAACAAATGTTGGGACCTGCTTTGGCAATTTAAAAAAATTTTTTTAACTGTACTCTTCACAGGAGGTGAGGTCAGAGCCTGCTCCCTCTGAGAGGTCTGGGAACTCTAGCTCCTCTCTGCCAGCCAGCTTGTCTTGGGCTTCAAAACCTGCATGAAGCGTTTTGTCCTTGGGCTGATTATTCCTAGAACTTCAGATTAAGGAAGGGAGCCCGGAGGCTGCTGAGTGGCACCCTTTCCCTTGGCACCTGTGTTTTATTTTGCTTTTTCCCTCAGATCATCAGAGCAGGCTCTCTCCAGAAGGCTGAGCTAGTCTGCCCTGTGGGTAGGGGTGACCAGGAGATACCAGGAGAAGGGGTCTGGGGCTGTCGCCCTCCCCAGGTCGGCAGCCCGCCCTGCATTGATCCTGTGGCTAACTTGTAAAGCAGCTTTTCATCCTTCCCTAGGAGGAGGCTCGCCGGCGGGAGATCACCGAGGCCAGTCCCTCCAGAAGGCTGGCTGTTTTAGGAGGCCCCTGACATCACATTGTTGATGTAGAACCAGAGTTTGATTTGTGCTCGGGAGTCTGAGCGTGTAGCTGGGCTCCTGCAAAACCTCATGAAAGATGCATTTCACCAAGCGGTTCCAGGGGAGAGACTGGCTTAAATTACAGCTCGGCAAATCCAAATATTGGCATATCTGCAAATCCAAATGTAGGGATTGCAAGAAAAAAAAAATTTAAATTCTAAGAATCTTATTTTGCATGTCTTGTGCAAGAAGGGAGGGCGAGATAGGCAGAGAGGAGACAAGGCTCTCAATAATGAGAGAAGCGTCCACAGAGCAAACCCTCCCTCCCTTTCTCTTCTTGGGCATTCTTCATGCCTCCTCGTGAGCGAGGAAGACCGCGTTGTTCAGCGCAGGTTTCTGCCACACAGGTTAGGGCCCCCCCCCCGCCCCCGTTCAGTATCTGGGGCAAAGGGCTCAACAAATCTGGTGGGTCATTTCTGTCTGCTTTCCCCAAGCCACTTCTACAGACCTGGGTCCACGGTGTTCCCCACTGGAGCCCGCTCACAGCACAGCAGCCCCCATAAATCCTGCGAGCCTGTGAGCCACACCAGGTCACGTCTCTGCTCAGACCCCCCGTGGCTCCCCATCGCCCTTGGAGAAGACCAACATCCCCGAAACAACCCTCAGGCTTCCCCCTAGACCTCTGTCAACATAAGAATCATTGAAACCCCTAGGGAATTTTTGTGAGTTTACTTGAACCAAAAACTGATGACAACTGCCAGAAAGCAAAATCTCAGCAGATGAAGAAATGCTCCGGAGAAGGGCAGTTTAACATTTGATTGGATACATTACAATCAAAGCAGGAGACAGACGGGGGGGGGGGGGGGGGGGGCGGGGGGCGTTTACATGAAATCCACTGGTGATAGATTAGAGCGGTGGGAGAAAGCAGAGTGGGAAAAATCTCTGGCACTGGGTAAAAAGTACACTGGGGAGACACATATTTCTTTTCCTTTGGTGGGTGTACTGTAGTTAATAGAGAACCTTTATGGCACA